GGTTGTCGTTTCAAGATACAACATTAGCGGTACACATTTGCAATTTAAATTGACATTTTCTTATGGAGTATTTAGAGAATCAGATTAATCACCCAGCGTTTGCAATAACACAGACTTTTTAAGTAATTGTAAGTGGACCCTAACCCTAAAACACGGCTTCCTTTTTTCTTTTTCTCTATAGTTCGGCATAAAATGTATATAACAAAAGACAAGAGTACCTGAGTGTCAGGATCTTTCAGCTTTGATACTGTCTCTTCAACCACTTGATGACACAAGTCACAGCCATTTGGGGAGAACTTTTGAGAGATGGAAACCACTTTCCGACAAAGGTCAACCTTTTGGCATATGTCGTCAGGTTTTATAGTGGAGATCTCTGAGAAGAAGAGATGAGCATATTGATCCACCATGGCAGTGCACTACAAGCAAATAAGAGAAGTTCACTTGCAAATTAATGTAGCAAGAGACAGAAAAAATCATATCAATGTTGTTGCATGTAGATCCTAAAGATATCAAGATATTGCTATAGCTTTGCTTATAGCACACTTAACTTAAACCTTAAAGTTAGCGCAATACAGGCTGAGCACTTCGCCTCACTTATAAGGCGCCTTCCTACAGGTGCCAAAGTGTCAAGGCATCACCTAATTGCTAATGGACTCTAATACAAAACAATAAAATATAGACAGCAAAGTGATGCATTTATCGCAAATGTGTGCATGTGTGTAATTAGGAATTATTAACAAATTAGTAGCAATCGCTCCATTTTTTATTTGTGCATGATGCACCGTCGAAAACTGAGAAGTTTTTCGTGCTTTTGCCTTTGATATTGCAAGCTATTATTAATCTTTTCATAAACATACACATAAATCCCCATAGAAAACAATCTACCCAAGCTCTATGGATAAGATCAAAAGACAAACTCCACTAGTTTATCATTTCTCTTCATCCAAATAGAGGTATCTAGGCCATTCTGGATTTCACAGAAGCCAAATTGTATCCAAAAGAAAATGGGATACTTTAACAAACGATCTATTTAAAAACTGCATGATGAACTATACTCGTAATAAAAACAGAAAGAAACAAGGGAAGCAGGTTCTAGGTACAAATACTTGCAGAGATAAAATCACTAGATGATTCCTTCCCATTTGTCCTACCCTTGGTGGACAGAGTTATTTGGTACCTATTGCTAATGGGAGGCGGTAGATATCTCGAAACTAATCGAGGTGCACGAAAGCTGGACCAGACACCACGGTTACCATAAAAAAACATGAGAAGCAGGCTCAGTGTGTGCTGTCTGTGAATTGCTTTGAACCCATAATCAGAGTGGGTCTACAATTTCTTTCTATATTGTAAACAAGATAATTGATATCATAAATATTGAGTTAAAACATATAAGGATGTCTCAAATGTAGAATAACCCGATTGGATGAAATGGATAAGCATATTAAAAGAAAACTTCCGCTATCTTCATGTGTGCCATGAAGCATTACATTTAGAATATCATTTAGATGGGCAAGCAGTAAGTTAATCATTTACAAAAAAAAATTTAATGGTCAAAAGATGGGCATTTAAGTCAATTCACAAGTACCTCCTCCTTGTATATTGGCATCTTCGAACAGGTCATGAGAAGTACTTCAAGTATTTTTGCCTGGGTCTGCTTATTAGAAAGGTAATCAAGCGCAGTAGCAGTATATTCTTCACACAATGTGCATAATCCTTTAATGTTGCTGACATCTTTCAGAGGCTGAAGTTGTTTCTGTGCCTGTAGGTTACTTGTCCACAATGCTATTGCAAGAAAGCCAAGATTAATGTGTTTTCCATATTAAAGTTCTGATTCAAGTACTCCTTAATCAATCAAATGAAAATTTTTGACTTCACATATATATAACAAGATGATCGCATCTGCTATAGGGGAATATAGTTAAAACATCAATTAGGCTAGTGTAAGCATGAGTATAAGAATCGACCACAAAAGAGTAAATTGGATGGAGAAACCACCAACATGCCCATCTAAAAAAATCTCGATCATTGAGGATAAACAGACAATAAATCCATGGAGGAGTAGCTACTTGAAGAACTTGCAAGTAAGCATCCTATTCAAGATTCAACAGGATAACTTTTTACCCAAGTTTTCTCGAATCGTCAAGAACCTTTTATTTAAAGAGAGCATACATTGTCGGTGCCCCTTTTTTGGAGTAAACTGTTACATGAGTAGACTACCACAATCCAATAAAATGAAAAACTTGACCATCCAATTTTGTATTTCCAGAGTCTATTTTTCTATTTAATAAAATAGGCCATATTTGACAATATATACACACAAAAAAAGGAAATTTGATGTTAATATCATTATAAGTCATATGAGGTATCACATTTTTCCAGTGAATGTTCGCTAACCCATCCTAAACAGAAGGAACAGAGAAACCCAATTGAGTTGAAGAACCTCGTGACACATAAATAGATGGTACTTCCTCATGAGACTGGTTGGTTGGTAATAGGTGCAGAAGAAAGGAGAAGAAGGATCTTCGGCTCAGAGCAACATTAATATTGCAGTCTAAATTTAGAGGCTTGAGGAAGAAAAACTGGAAGAGAAAGGTCATTGCTGTAAAAGTTTTTAAGAACTGTAAATTAGTAGTGAATAAACTGAAAGCAAATTCAAAGCTTAGCTTATGATATGCTTTCAATAACAAAAAATCACAAACTTTTGTGAGACATCTATCCTGGAAATCAAAGAGGTTCTCATTAATTACAGGTAGGGTACTGACAATAGAAGGACACAGTTCGCAGAATTTGTTAGTTTTGTGGCTGCACAATTACTATTTAGCACAGTCATCCCTTTCCTATGTGTGTGTGATTTAAGGCTATCCAATCAATTCACAATTCATATTACAAAAATCATATCCCAACACAATACTAAATCCACTGGGCACTGGTAACACATGAATAGGAGAAGTACCTGAAACATCCTCGGTCTCTATAATAAGGAGGTCAGGGGCTGCTAATTCTCTAGCTGTACAATACACAGCACCGAGTAGGACAAGAAACAGGCAGACCTTGACATCCATGCTGTCAAGTGAAACAGTCAGTCTAGATTCAAGAAAAAGCATTGTGAAGTTCAAAAAAGAGAATCAACGAAGGATATGCTAATATTAATCAATCAATCGATCAACAATGTCTCAATCTCAAATTAGTGACGGATCAAAAAATCTAACTTTCACTTGAATATTGACAGTCGTATCAATCAACTACACCTCAACCCCAAATTAGTGATGGATCAAACAATCTGACATTCATTTGAATATTTGACAGTCGTATCAACCAATTACACCTCAATCTCAAATTAGTGACGGATCAAACAATCTAACATTCACTTGAATATTTGACAGTCGTATCAATCAATTACGCCTCAATTCTAAATTAATGGATCAAACAATCTAACTTTCACTTGAATATTTAACAGTCAGATCAATCAATCACCCCTCAATCCCAAACTAGTGACGAATCAAACAATCTAACTTACACTTGAATATTTGATAGCCATATCAATCAATTACCCCTCAATCCCAAATTACTGACGGACCAAACAATCTAACTTCCACATGAATATCTGATAGTCATATTAACCAATTACCCATCAATCCCAAATTACTTACGGATCAAAAAACCTAACTTTCACTTGAATATTTAATAGTCCTATCAATTAATTAGGCTCAATAGCCTCAATCCCAAACTAGTATCTGATCAAAATTCCAGCCTTGCTCAAGTATTTAACAGTCATGTCCAAAATAAAACTACAATCTCACATACTTTTACTGTAAACATAAATAGAAATCAAACAACTACAAAAAAGTTTTCATCTTTTTGAATTTACCAACTGATTGAACCGACACCCAACCTCCACCCAGTAATAAAAAAGTCAATTTACTTAATTCAATCGAACAAAACACAATATATCACAATTTTAATCGAAACCCAGATCGATTAAAGCAAAAGGGGTGTCAAAGATAAGAACAAAACTCAAAAAAGATAAAAAAAAACTCATCAAAGACAATATCTTTACATATACAGAAAGAGAATCATCAGATAGAAGAAAAAATAAGCATCAAATCTAAAAAAATTCTACATGTAATGATGATGAATGATGAAGAATGTTTACCTGGAAAAAAATTTAGAGAGTAAATGACAAATAGAGAAAGTAGTACAAGGGTTCTTTCTTCAAGCAACAACAGCAGATCTCCCCCTTTCTTGTAGGCAATTATTTTTTGGCTTAATTGAGAATTTCTATTAGGAGTTGATCTCCTGCACCTGCTATCATTTGTATGTTTATCCAACCGGATTTTTATATATTTTTTAAATAGAGGTAATGAGTGAAAGAAAAAAATAATTAGAGGTCAAAACTCAAAAGTGTTTTTTTAAAAAAAAAAAGAAGAAGAAGAAGAGGTATTTGGTCAAATTTTTGGAGAAAATTAACTTTTTTTTTAAAAGAGAAGTAGAGTTTGTTTTTGAGAAACTAGAAAAATGTAGTAGTAGTAGTTGTTGTTCCAAAAATATTTTTGGGAAAAATATACTTTAGAAATAATTTTTAAAAGCATGGCTAAATATTTAATTATTGTTCAAAAGTGTTTTGAAATTTTTTTAGTATTATAGATACAAAATATTTTTCAAAAATAGTTTATTTGAATAAATTAATTTTAAAAGTTTGATCAAACGAACATTTTGTATATTGGATAAGTAAATAATTTTGGATAAATATGTGTTATCTCTTATATTTGATTGCTGATTTTGAAACAAATTATATCACAATTAGTAATTAATATTAGAATAAGTTATCTATATCAAGAAATATTAGTGTTAAAATTAATTATTCTAAGATATTATAATTTACATGGTTAGATTTAACAATGAAGTTGTAATTAATATACATTCTTTTTTAAACAAACTAAAATGATAGTATATTACATAACGTATAACTCTGAGAAAAATAACTTTCATTACCTAATAAATTGCAAAAAGAAAATAAAATTCAAATTCATAATTATCTATCTGAAAGCTTCCAAACAATATAGCATTACACACATATCGGATTCTCGTATTGTTAACATTTTTTGAAAAGTATGACCAATATAGCTTATACAGTTATACTATATTAGGCGTATATTTCAATCAAACACTCCCAAGTAAAGCTAAAACACTAAGCTCAAACAAGATATACATCATTTACTAGCAAGACTCGTGATTACAATCTTGATCTTTCACCTGATGAATCCTTCCAGAATCACAAGCAGAGCAACAACAATGGCGTAATCCACGTTCCGTTCACACAGTGAAACCAAAATCACTGAGGCACGACCAAAATGCAGTTGAAACAGAGGAAGAAAAGGAACATCAGTACAGCTACCAAAATAAACTTGTATACTATAACAGTGTTCATAGCTCAAGCTTGCAAACAAACCAACATTACACACTTATACAACATTAGCCAAATCTGGCAATCAACTAGACTCAAAAGTATAGCCATAAACGCGGGGTTCAAAACAAAATACACATCAAGCTACCTGGCAATGCTCGCGATAACTATCTTAATCTGAACCTGATCGATCCTCATTAATCTCCTCAAGAATCACAACGAGAGCAACAATGAACGCGTAATCCACGTTTGGGTACACAGTGACACCAAAATTGTCTTTACCAAGTAGTATACTTTGAGCAGTGTGTTTCCTGTGCATTTGAGCAATTATAGACGACGAATTTCCAGCATATATAACACATGATCTTTCAAGCCAACTGCCTTCAATTCTGAAATCACAAACGTCTTCTGATGTGTTGTGCGCTAAGAATACATCCAATTTGGTTTTGAATTGAAGAAGTGAAGATTTTTTTACACTGAAAAGGAAATCTTTTGAGTCTGTGCTTTCTCCTCTGTATACTTGCCATCTTCTATGAGCACTCAACATCTGAAAATGCAAATTCATAAATGTTACTATTAAAAAGATATAAACACTACTAGAAAATTACAAATTTTTCAAGAAAAATTTGAATTTTTTGGTTTACTTTGCTTTTGGTTTGTTGATCTTTGTAAAAATGTTAGTAGTTTAAGAGCTAATTATTTAGATATGTATCAGTTTATAATATTATGAATCTTATTAGCTTTGATGCAATATTACTTCAAGTAAATTTGCATATAACTGTTATACATATTCAAATTTCACTTCTTATGCCTCCCATTAGCTAGCCATTATTCTAGATATACGTGAATCAAATAAAATATAATAGATTCATGTATCTAATATATATTTAGTGTGATTCGCATGTTTGATATACATTAGACAAATCTTATTTACCTCTGTTTCTATTTCAACGTATTTACCTAGTTATCTGATATAAAAAAAATATGTATCTAGATATATTTAATTTAAAATTTATATAATATAACTATAATTATATTTCAAATTAAAGAGAGAATTAATAAATACCACAAAAATGTTTGTATGACTATATTTACTACAAGGTTCAAAAATAGCCTTTTTACATCTTTTTTTTCTCAAACTTTATATCGAATAAAAACAAAACAAAACATTTTTTTACTGTGTTTCATTCAGTAAAATACTGTAATTACTTATGAGAGTCATTAATTTACCTTTTGTTGAAAAGTGACGAGAGAGTTTCCGGCAGCATCAAGCAAAATCCGGCGATCACGGAGGCTGAAGAACTTGCCTTTAACCTTAAAAACAATGTTTCCATTGACATCGGTAACTCCGAACGCACCTTCAGACCAAGTCATAAGTTTCCTTACAACGTTTAAATCAACGGGATACGGTGCACAGAACTGTGGATTTATAATTGCTACCGGATTTGGTACTGGCATAGGCGCCGGAGTTTGAGGAGGATAATTACTTGTTCCTGCCATACTTGATTGAACTAAGAATTAGAGATGATTTTTGAGAGATTTAGAGAAGAAGAGAGAATTTTTTTTTGTTTTGTGAGTATTGAGATTTGGGAACTGATATGTTTTTATAATGGAAAGTTTTATTAATTAATGAAGAAGATGAAGAAAGGAAAGTGGGAAGATGGTGAGGGAATTAATTTTGAATAATACTAAATTAAGTTGGTCAAACGATTAGAATTATACCGATATTAATAATAATATAAAAAGTTATTAATAATAATATATTGAAATTAGTATCTTGTATAGCATCATAATATATAACATAATATTTTTTATATCTCAGTTAATATAACACAATTTAAATCTAATTATATATTTGGATATGAAATCAAGATTAGAAACCTATTTAAAAAGTGACTGATTCAAAATTTTAATAGATAAATTTATTTGATTTTTGAGATTCAAAATGTAACACATCAATTGAGACAGCGAAAATATATGTGTTAGGTTACGAATTTTTTAAAATAATCAACTAAACTTCATATTAGTTATACGTTTAAAATTTAATTTTTATCTATTTATCAAATATTATATAAATTAAATAAAAATTAATATATAAATATTTTTATTAGACTAGGTTAAGTTTTTCTAAAATAAGTTTTTGGGAATCGTTCTACGTCGGCGATGTCAACGCGTAGGAAGATATTTGTGTATTGTATCAATCTACCCTTAACGCGTGATGCATTCGTTAAATTATATTCTTACATCATTTTATATGCTTGAAAATTATAGATAAGATTTACTTTTCCTTTAGTCAAGGTCATACTTTCTCTATTTATTTGTCTTTTTAATTCATTTTTTTCAAAAGATGTTTTTTTTTAGTTTAATTTTTTCACATGATATATATAAAATTATAAAATTAAATAATACTTTAATCAAGACTAAAAGGTTCAAAAATTTTATTATTAAAATTCCTAAATTTTGTGTGGAGACTCAAATAAATAAATTGAAACGGAGTAAGTAATCTAAATTAAAAAGAAAAAAAAAATCAGAGAGACCTTAATCTCAATTGTAGCATAATGCGAGGCTCAATATTAATTATGACTCGAATATCATAATAAGAAAATGAATTTTGAATCTAAATTTATTCGAAAAGACATATAGAAGTGACTTTCTCATATCTAAGCAGCCAGTGGGAACTGAACATAACTTGTAACAATCTCAAATTGTAACCTATATTTCCTTATTATATAAGAGGTCCACAATGATAATGTTCAATTCTGTTTGAGTTCTTCCTTGCCACAAACTTTGTATTTTATGTTGACTCTTTCAAATAAATAAATGTAGTGAGATTGGGACAATAACATCTTAGAATATGACACTTTAGAAATTAGCATATTCTATGGCAACTAATATAATAGCCCATTAATTATTAACCATAAAAGAGAAAGTAGTGATTTCTATAATTTCTTCCATATAACATAAAACATTCCTACACAGAGAAGAAAATAACAACCAAAATGGACCCCTTTGACAAGAAAATCATGATCACAGTTACAAGATAATTTTATAAGGTAAGGCTTATGAATAAAAGACCCTTTGTGATGGGCCTTCTTCGGATCCGCCTATAATGGGCATGATGTTAGTGCAATAATATGATTATTTATAACCAACACGGTATATAAACCATGCAAAGACTTTAGCGAGCGACTCAGAATGTAATGATATTATTGCCACTTAGCACTAGGCTTATTTCAGCATGGTAATTCATATGTCTAGCTCAATTATATTTACCGTTCATAATCTCAGGTAAGACCCTCGATAATTCTACGTCTAGTGCTTTTCCACAAACTATTCCCTGTAGAAGGAAACATTGAGGTGAGTTTTCAGCAAGATGGAGAAGAAGCAAGGCACATACATTACAAACTCATCAGTGTTTTCGCCTAATGGAGTTGTAAACAATCAGTTCGTTCTTCATGTGCTTCAGTAAGCTTGATCTTCTGCACAATGACAGACATGTTATATATCAAGTTTAAACCACAAGTTCAGATATTACCTTCGGTACACGCTAAAATAAGTTCTTTCTTGAATTTCATGCTCAATCAAATCTTGTCGAATATATAGAATGAGATAGCTGGAGGCAGTATAGATCAGACAATGGCGATGAAGATGTGATGTTTTACCTAAAAGAAAAGATCATAGGAGTAATCGAGTGGTCTAAATTACAGACACACCTTTGAAAATTAAAGCCATTGTTGAAATTAGTTCTGTGGATGGAAATACAAAATAGCAACACTATAAACAGCACAAACCTCTAACTAATTGGTGGAAGCCAGGTAGGCTAATCATTTTATTCAAGCAAATATAGAGCAAGAATGGATGGTTTAGGCATATATAGTGAGAGAAAAAAAGAGAGTATAATATTGCTCAAAGTTGAGTTTCAAATTGTCCTTGTTTTCCCTATTTCAAAATTAGTAAAAATGTGAACTTTTAGAGACTACACACTTGTGTAACTTAAATGACAGTACAACACTAAGCTCTCTGACTCTGGGCTTCCCAAGCTAATTGACCAGAATCATAGCCATATTGTGAGCACAACAAGTGGCAAATAGCAATCCTGGTTATCTAGATCCCTAATGGTGTAGCACAACGATAGAAAAGGTGGATACCGATAAATCGGGCATGGTGATCATAGAATATAAATCTTGCGCAGAAACAAATTAGGCTATCTGAACTGGGGAATCAAAGGGTGGTCGTCCTAAGAGTTTTTTCAAGGGTAGAGGAAGGGCAACTGGTGGATCTCATTAATAAACAAATTGAAGACATGCACTTCTACTGAGAAGAAGACATACGTTGAGGGGAATCAAATCATAGCTTTCTTAAGCCACAAACAGAATGGAACAACAAAATCAACTTCACAGAAAGGGCAAGACCAAGTCCAACCATACTTTCTGTAAAACATAGCAAATTCAACTACATATAGAAAATCAACCTGTCAGAATTTCATCCCAGCCCTCAAGAGCAAGCATGAGGTGAAAAGCACCTACACATAGAATTAAACCGAGGGAACCTCAAATTTCACAATTCCTCCCAATACAAGCAAATGAAAATAATTGAAACTTACGATCCCCAAAACCTATAATAATAGCAAGCAGGAAAGAAACTACTGTTATCAATTCAGGAAGAAAATTAAAATTTTAGTTAGCCAACACCACTCATCCATTTGGTCAGAGAAGACATGGGAAAGAACTAACAAAAAAATTAGGACATGGGTAAATAACACATTACGAATAACACTGTTTCACAATCAAAAGGCGGTGAGTTAGAAGGAGCAGCCTATAACGATTAACCACTAAACAAAGATTTTCACTCCAGCTACATACATATCAGTTAGTCATAACATCAAAAACTGTACCAATGTTACCAAGAGTTCTCAATGGCTTCTGGAATAATAGCTAATCATAAGAAAAGTTCAGCATATTTTGGAGGCATGATGTGGTTTACTCAGGAAAGGTCAAAGGATACAAGATATGTTGGGGTTTACTAAAGGGAGCCCTCCAATCAGGTACCTGTGTTCCTCTTAGTACTAAGAAGATAAAAATCATTCAGTGCTAGCCTCTACAACGTAAGCTAATTGGTAGAATTGGATCTTGGACAAACTGATACAAGGAACATTAAAAAGGCTAACCTTTAAAGGTTGTCAGCCAACAGTGACTTCATTTCAGCAATTAGCATAGCTAATCAGAAAAACTCCAGATTTGTATCACACCTAATAGCAAGTTGACAAAATTCTTCGTTCATGAATGAACATATCATACAAGCTGGCCTAACAAATACATAAATGAGAAATGGATAACAAAGCACTGAACTTTGGAACAAGCGGTGTGCTTCTGGAAACCCATCAACGACGGTATCTGTGACGCTTGAAGTTAAAGTACAAATGCAGAATTCCTCGGTCGAATATGCACTTGAATCCCTTTTTATGGGAGTACTCCCATTCTCTGTTAACAATTCGGAAAGCTATGTCCTCATAAGGAGGGCCAGCATGGAATTTTATGATGCAAGTATCAGCACTATCTCCATCTTTCTCTATGACATAAGTTGGAGCTCTTGCTTTGTCAACAAGATCAGGATAGAAGATATTGAATTTGTATCCCTGCACAATCTTTGGAGGTGGGTTGTCATGATCATAATGAGTTTGATTATACTTGTTCCATTCATAACCAGTATGAACACGGTTGAAATACTTAGGCTTCCTTGGCCTATACTTGTCATGCCACCAGTACACCTGTGAATCAAGATTAATTTCATCATTTGAGCCAAATACTACATCCCCTTCCTCCATTGCTCCCATAGTTTTAGAAGCCTTCTTCTCAAAGTTGTCTTCTGCAGGAGTCGGTGGCAAAATCTTGTCTTGGGCACGTCTCTCTTCCAAAACAGCCATACGTTTCCTCTCGAGTATCGCCCTGTCCTCTTCAGGATCAACTGCTTCTTCTATATCATCCCCGTGCATTAAGACAGGCGAATAAGAACCAGCCTCTTCATCGTCTATTTCTTCTTCCTCCTCCCCCTCCACCTCCTCTTTCTCCTTAACTACCTCATTCAAGATTGGTTCTGGAGAAATGGCTCGAACATCATTTTGCTCATGATCCGTGTCTTCCTCATCAGTCCTCAATGTCTCTTCCACCTCTACATCACGGCTCTCCACTGGTTTCTCAAGATGCTCAAGATGTTCGCGCAGCATTTTAGCGTGAATTTCCCTTAAACAAGCCTTAGCCTTGTAAATCTGAAGCCGTTTAAGAACAGCTTCCCAATATTCTACAACTTTAGCAGTACCAGATCGCATTTGTGATTCAATTTGTGACTGCAATGCTTCTAATTCACCATAACCTTTACCTTGTAACAAAGACTTCACATCTGTTTCAATGCTGGAATGCAAACCCCTCTCTTCTGCTAGCAATTCATGTGGTAACTCCTCTCCGCGTACTCGTGCTTTGTCCATTGCTTCCCTTCTCCTAGCTTCAGCCAACTCCCAGTCACAAACCACCAAAAGGGCTTCCCAATACTGTATATGCAGTGGTGTTTCCCTATCCAAATCAATATGCAATTTTATATCCTCCTGAAGTTCTTCCATCTCTTTTATAGCCAAACCCTTGAACACCACATAGGGCTCGTCTATTTCCACATCGAAATCTCCAGAAGGTTCTAATTGCTTGATAAGAACATCAATAGGCTTAACACGACCTTGACGAAGACGAATTTCAGTCCGGACTTTGCTCTGATCGAAATGAAACTCTTCTTCCTTCTTCTCCCAATCCTGGAACTCAGCCCGGGCCCGTTCTCTAGCTAGCATCTGTAATTCTTCTTCTCGTTGAGCTTTTTCAATTGCTCTTTCTTCTCTCCTTTTCTTCACCTTTTCAATTTCAGCCATTCTTTCTTTCTGCCTTTGCTTCTCTGCCTTCATCGAGAAAGTATCGAGCGGTACCCCTCGAGTAACATCTCGTTCAATTTTTTTCCGCCAGACAAAATTTTCGTTCAGATTCGAATCTCCAAATGGATTTGAATCGTTCGAATAACCAGAAACATTCTGCGTTTTCAGCTTCTTCGCTACTTTCGCTGCCTTCTTCTGTGCTTTTTTAGCCATATACAAAGCAATTTCTTCTTCAGTAATTTTCTTCTTTTTCTTCTTTCGCTCGTCGTCACTACTCTCTTGGTCTGCATAATCATGATTTCTCGATCTGCTACTATGACCTCGACTTTTGCTTCTGCTACTGCTTGAACGGCGGCGGCTGCTACTCGGCGGAGATGAGTCGGATTCGGATTCCGACTCGGTGTGAGAAATTGAATCGGAGTCTGATGCAATATCGTCGGAAGATCGGCGGCGGCGTCTGCCGGACTTTGACGCCGTCTTCCCTTTACTACGACGGTTGCCGGAGGAACCCATTGCGGCGGCGGGATAAGCTAGATATCCAATAATCAGATTGAGATGAATTAAGGTTTTGGGGATTTTTGCTTTTCTTCTTTTTAAATATTTTTTATATATATAAAAGTGGCATATTTGGTCAAGCGGCTAAAATATATTTATTTTGAATTTTATTTTTAAAAAAATAATTGTTGACTAATTAATTTCAAGAATTATCAATGAAAAGTTATTTTTCACTCATATTGGGTTGGAGATCTACAACAAGAAATTTGACTTCAAAGATTAGAAAGTGTATTAGCATATAATTTTATACTAGATTTAAAATTAAGTCAATAATAAATTATTTATATCGTTATATTAATTAATGGCGACAAAAATCAACAAAGGAATAATTATTTGTGCATGTTAAAAATAACTCATCCTTAATTGATATAAGAAATTCTTTCTTCTTCCATTCACTTGTCCTACCAAAGATTTTAATTTAATTGTTCTGTATTTTCGATAACATAAAGCTTAAATTCATTATTAGAAATAACAATTTTATCTTAATCAATCATTAGTTCTCTATGTATTTAATCATATTCAATATTCTTTCGTCCATTTCCGCAAGGGATTTAATCAACATTAATAATATTATTAGTTATCATTTTTATTAGTTATACAAAAGATTGTCATGATATAACATTAATAGCATAACAATAGAGATCATGTACGAGGTGGAATATAATGAAAGAATAGTAATGAAAAGATGAAGAGACTGCACTTAGTTGATATCTACATAAAATAAAATATTTATAACAGTATTCTATATATTTTTTTCTTTGGTATTAATTTGTTTTATATATTTAATATCAATTAAAGATATTTTTTTATGAAAAAGGTGAAAGGATATTTTAATTTATATAAAAAAATATCAATAATTAACTGTTTGACTAAAAGTATATTTATCATCAATAATTTGATCCAAACTTTTTTTTCTAAATAACTACTATTTTTGAAACATGTTTTTTTCTAATATTAATTTTTTTTATTATCAAATACTTATCTTACTAGGGTATTTTTTTTATCATCGTTATCTAAATAAAAATTAATAATAAAATTATTGAATAATATATATATATATATATTAGACATATAATCCGTTAAAATGTATATAATTATTTTATTATGATTGATAAAATGAAATTAAGAAGGAGAAAATTACTTTTTATTTATTTATTTATTTATTAAAGTGATTTAAAAGAAAAAGATAAAAATATTATTCTTTCAAATAATAATTTTATCGGAATAGGATGTGCTTAAAACCTAACAAGGATTGTTATAATGTGTCCTTCATTTTTAATCATAGATTTTAAATATGATTTTCTTACGTATAAAGTCGCTTATTCAATGTCAAATATCGAATGAAAAATTAAACACTATATATTTTAAAAAAGAAAATGAATAACATTTTTATTAAAATGAGGATATTTTTTATTCAAATTAAGCATCTTTAAACCAAATAAAAAAAATATGTTTAATAAGAAAGTAAAGAAAGGTTTATCAGGAAGAATATTTTTTTGACTCATTAAGTACACATTAGTCACTTTTACTTGTCAGATGTAAACTCAATCCTAAAATAAATTTTTATTTTTAATTATCAGTTTTAACATATCAAAAAAGGATTAATAATTTTTTTTATGTTTTATCCTCATTATTAAATAATTATTTTCCAAATCTTTTTCTAAGATATCATTTGATAGAGTATAGTTAAGTAGAATACCTATATCAATAAATTATTTTTTAAATGGGTATGTCAAAGCAAATTGTAGCAACTAAAAGCATAGTTAAAAGGTTTACCCTAATCTCCTTCGACAAAAAATTATATAATTTATATATGATTAAAATAAATTTTAAATATATATAGTAGATATCAAACACTCCTTTTAACTATTTCATGCGTTCATTTTTCAAATTTTATACATTTTTATTAAAATCCTGACTAAAAGTAAAACGGAGAGAGTAATAATCAAATATCTAAACCAAATTAAGTAATAATTAAGCATCTTATTAAATTATTAACGATAGAAATATACTGATATCAAACCATTGATAACATTTTAAAAACAAATTATAATTGAAATATTTTTTACATCAAACTACTAGCAATAAAAGATATTTTTAAAATTAAACGTAGTTGAATTTCGCTTAGCTCGATAGCATTTTAAATAATGACACGTGTAACAACACTATACAATATTCGTGCAAAATGTTGCTCCTACCGGCCGGCCCAAATAAAGACGTAAAATTATTCAGCTTTCTCTGTAACTGCCGTCCTGGCACCTTATTTTTTTTTTTTCATATTTAGTAAAAGTACTATATATATATATACTCATTTCACACTCTCACTCTCTACTACTACTAGAACCTTCGATTCCCCCAAATCTCTTTCAATGGCTTCTTCTATCTTAATCAATTCCATTTCTCCTTGTTCCAAGTACCTCCGCTGCAATAGAAATTACTGTTTCTCTGCCTCCGCAGCTTTAAAAGGAGCTATAAGTTTTCCGGTGAAGTGTAGTAGTAGCAGTAATTTGAGCTGTGAAAGGAGTTGCAGATTTGGGATAGTTAGGGCTTCTTGTGCCGAGGAGGTGGTGGTGGATGATCATGAGATTGATGACGTGGAGAGGAAGGTTCTGAGAGTGGGAATCATTTGTGGTGGACCGTCTGCTGAGCGGGGAATTTCATTGAACTCTGCTCGATCTGTGCTCGATAACATACAGGTGAAAAAACCGATCATCATCATGTTCTCTTACGTGCGGCCTTGATTCTTTTTCATGATCACGTAAACTTTATAAGAACTATTGTAAGTTGCAATTTTTTTTAATATTTTAAAATGTTGGTTGAAGTTTACGGAGTTGTAGTTTTGTGAAGGAAATATAGAAAGTAAAAGCGAATGGAGGAAATGTGTTCGAAGTGTGTGATCAGCTCGTAAGTTGTTAGAGAGGAGAAACATTTATTTATGTATGCTCTGTGTGATGCCTCTTCATGTATTGTCTCTCTTTCTCTTGATTAAAAAGATTCAAGTTCTTTTTCAAAAATTAGTAGTTGTGGGACTTCAAAAGGGGACCTCTGCATACTCGTGTTAGAATTGTATGACCACCTCGTCTAAAAGAACAGTTGTTTGATAGGGAACACACTATTATTTAGTTAATTTTATTTTCATCATGACCCTCATGCGTGGGCTTGGTTTTCTTTTTTGATGAAGTACATGAAAAATCTTTTTGATAAAGGGTGGCGGCGGGACTTAAGTTGATGACCTATGCTTTTTCTAATGCCATGTTGAATTGTGTGATCACATCATCTAAAAGCTTATATTCTTTGACAAAGTGATCATAATCTTTACTATATAGTTGAAAAGCACTGGTAGTTCTTGGTCTGTACTAGTAGGAAGAACCAAAACTTACAATGGCTCTCTATTCTGTAGAGAGCTTATATTTCCATCTATTTTGGCCTTTCCGTTTGCATATTTTGAACAAGTTTTGCACTTTGTTTCAGATGGATGATTTAGTTGATAAGTTGAGTGTTATTTGGTGCCGTAAGTTATGCCTTAGAAGATGTGATCTAGTACTTCATTTTCTTCTGTTGGTTGTTGCTAAGAAATGAGAGACTGTTATGTTTTACTAATGCAATGATTCCATGTGTATTATCTGTATTCTGGAAGAATATTCGTCTTTCAATCTGTGATTTACTCTTTCCAGTGCTTGAGCAGGGGGACGATTTGCATGTTAGCTGCTATTACATTGATAGCAACCTCCATGCCTTTGCCATATCCACTGCCCAGGTCTGTTGTCCAAACCTTGTCTAATTATGCACCATTTAATCCGAGAACTAGCTCATAACCCGTAAGCTTAAATTTGGGTTTAAACCTCAGAGGATATTAATTTCTGCTTTCTCATTCTGCAACGTGAATCTTGGCCATTGGCTAGGCACAATATGCATTTTGGAATACCAGTTCTCAGACTAAATTTCAATTCACTTATTGATGGTTTATCAGCTTCTTCTAGGCACTAGGCGCCTTCTTTGTCTTTTTTGGTTTTGGCTCTTTATTCTTGTTAAATTGTACTTACAGGTATACTCAAATACTCCTGCTGACTTTGATTTCAAACTTGAGAGGTTAGTTTTCACAGCTTAACATCTGGGATTATAGGGTAAATTCTTCCCTGCTTGTTGAAGTTGAAAATTTTCTCATATTGTGTTTGCAGCCTTGCCCAAGGCTTCCGGTCATTATCTGACTTCACAGAACACCTTGCTTCTTCGGTGGACATAGTTTTTCCTGTTATACATGGTCGTTTTGGTGAAGATGGTGGCATTCAGGTTTTTTTTTTGTACCAAAAAACTTAAGAAATTTCACTCATACTAATTGTCTTCTGTGTTTGAAAGCTCTGAACGACTTCCTTTTCTTCTGTTTGACATGTGTCTTGATGCATTTTTCAGGAGCTATTGGAACGATCAAATATTCCATTTGTTGGAACAGGGTCCATTCAATGTCAAAAGGCATTTGATAAAGTAAAATACCTGTTGCATCAACTTTATTTTTGTTTTCTGATCTAGTTGAGGAAACTAGAATATATGTATTGCCTAGACTAGACATGGTATTTGTTTGAAAAAAGAAACCTTTCATCTCGAAATTAACTTTTTATTTCATTTTAAAATTTTCGATTGTACTTTTCAACCCTAGTAATCCTTAATTTGAAACTGTAATTCTTTTCCGAAACCTTTGATCTTCATATTGATATTTCACTTGATTTTATATATATATATATATATATATATATATATATATATATATATATATATTAATTTATACTAAAATACATGGGCAGCAACTTGTTGACATATAATACATTGATTATATCCGTTTTCTTGCTGCAACAGGCTGCTGTCTGTAATGCATTATGCCTCCAAACTGCTCTTTGATTAATAGATGATATAGGTTTTCTTCCGAATTCTTAACAGTATGATGCATCCCTGGAGCTTGACAGACAAGGTTTCGTGACTGTACCTAATTTTCTCATACAGGTGTGATTTGTGCTCCATAAATTTCTTTGATTTTGCTTTGTCTTTCTCTATTCATGTGCTTTCTTCTACTTGGAAGTTTCCATTTGCCAGGCATATGTTACTACTGTTAGTAATGGTCTTCTAGTTTATTTGTTTTTCTCTTCTTATTTCTGTTTTTCCATCTTCGAACTTTGTTAAGTTTGACTTCCATATCATATTTCTTAGGAACAGGCTTGAGCTTGCTCACCTGAGCTAGCTGAGCTTGAATATTCACAGCTCAGCTTGATTCAACTTGTCTCCATCTCCCCTTGACAATCATTACATACTCTATCTTTATATTATGTTGAAGCTGGAAAAATGTTCCTTTTGCTTCTCTAATTATCCAAAAAAGAGAAGTACCTTTTGCTTCTCTATTCATCTATTCTTGGCTGGTTGCCGCTCTGTCTTGTTCCTGGGCTTTCCCTTGTTGGTTTTCTAGCCAATGTAACCTACCACAAAAGCTTCTTTCTTAAACTGTCATGCTGGAAATTAGATTTTCATTACACCCAAGGAGCAGAATTGTATGACTTTTCAAAATTAACTGTGGTTTCGTCCTGATCTTAGGGAAATGAAACGGATGAATCTGGACTGTCGAAGTGGTTTGAGCAAAATCTACTGGATATTAAGTCGGGAAAAGTGGTGGTAAGCATTCAATGGAACATTCATTTTGGTTTTCTGCAGCACTCTTGATCCATTATTTACATTTAGGACCCACACAATATTGCAGGTAAAGCCAACAAGGGCAGGATCAAGCATTGGAGTTAGTGTTGCCTATGGTGTCTCTGATTCTCTGACAAAAGCTAACAGAGTTATTTCTGAGGTAATAGTTTTCTTCTCCACGTCATTCTTCTTTAGTTTTACTTGTTGTAGTACACCTCTTGATTAGTGTTTGTTTCATAGTGTATATGATATTGGAAATTTAAGTCCTTTATATACCTTTTTGCAGTTTGTATTCAGTATATATTCAATCAATAACCATTTTTCGTTACTTTGGCAGGGGATAGATGACAAAGTCCTTATTGAGATTTTCCTTGAAGGAGGCAGTGAGTTTACCGCAATTGTCCTTGATGTAGGTTCTGGTTTTAATTGCCAGCCTGTTGTATTATTGCCGACAGAGGTATATAGATACTTCGTTCTCTTTTGGTATTAAGTTTATTATGAGGTTTATAATTCTCAAAAATAACACTGAAAGCATTATGTGCCTTGGTTTGAACTGTACGAGTACAATGACTGTAGATTTTCATTGTGCTGGGGTGCTAAAAATGCAGAGATATCAGATAAATAAATCCAAAAGTTAAGAATTTCTAACATTGCTTCCAGTTTAAAGTGCTATTATCTGTTGACAATGATATTTGAAATGCTATAAATGATGGCACCAGTTTAATCTATTATATAAGTATTGCATAGGAAGATACTTCTAAATGATTTCTATATATGTAAGTTTATCATGCCTTTTCACATAGTTCTTGATTACAGGCAGAAGTTGACACAAAATCTTTTATTTGTATGATCGAGAGCCAAATTTCAATCCAACAATTTTTTAAGGGTGACAATTATTATTAAGAAAAGTGACATTCTTCGGTTTCTCATTTTTTAAAAAAAATATAAAAAGTGGTACTCTTTGGTAGTCCATTGTTGAGCTTATATATTTGAATTCTGATACCGATCTTTTTGAGCTTTACAATTGTGCAAAGGGCATCGGCCCTCTTGGATCCAGCAGGAGTAGGAGTAGGAGTAGGTAATTTAGTATTGATCCGGTGAAGAAAAGAGAATTTCTAGTACTTATAGTGGTTCATCATGTATATGGTGCGGAACAGTTACTAGTGTCACATTTAGGCAGTGTTAGTGCAGAGTTACCGACATTCTGCTCCAGCTTGCTTTTGTGGGGCTATGCTAGTACTTGGAGGACTTGAACTTCATTAAGTTTTCTTGGAGCATCGAGGATGTTACTCCCTCCGTTTCAAAAAGAATGACCCTATTTCCTTTTTAGTTTGTTTCAAAAAGAATGACCCCTTTCCTTTGTTGGCGACACTTTAACTTTAACTTTACACGTGGCATGTTTAAGACCATAAGATTAAAGAGTATTTTGGTACATTTGACATAACTTTAAATTAGAACCACAAGATTAAAAAGTCTTCTTTCTTTTCTTAAACTCCGTTCCAAGTCAAACTAGGTCAATCTTTTTGAAACGGAGGGAGTACTTTTTTTGGCAGTTCCCTATTACTTGTTAAAGTTTCTCATGTACAGAGTATCCAGTGCTGAAAAGTTTATCCATACAAAATGTGATTATTGGGAATCAATTTGTTAAAATGGCTGTTCGGCAATAAAATCTGCAAGGAGTGACAATGCTATTTACTGTCATCATGGTTGATGTTTTACTTCATGTCACGTCACACCAGTTATGGATCTCTTGTAAATGAGGATTCTGTAGGTCAATAGGAAGATCTTTATGTTTTATTATTGTTAATGAAAGAGTTGAAAGAGAGCATTTTCTTTCTGCGTTTCGCTTGCAAGATTTCAATCAAATGGGCTCACTAGCTAAAGCGATGAATTTCTCAACTTTCTTAATGCTCTATATGTTTAATTTTCCACCATGTTCAGGTGGAGCTTCAATCACATGGCACTGTTGATGTTAGCGAGAAAGATGCAATATTTAACTACCGAAGGAAGTATCTCCCTACTCGACAGGTACTATAAATATTTCTGATTGGTGGAATGTGCACATAAAACTCTAGGGACATGTTTTTAATTTTTTTTTTCATTTGTAAGCATAATGATGACATCCTCGATGTGATAGATAATAGCTTGGCATTGAAGGCATAGTTAAGTAATTATATTTCATATGGTGTTCATTCATTTAAATTACCATTGTTAAGGTTGTTTCTGCCCTATATAAACACAAATTTTACTAGATTCCTTTTTTGAGAATGGTAACATGTATATTGATGTATACTTGACTCCCCTCAAAACTGGGAGTCACCCTTTCTTACAAAAGTGAGCACATAAAGAGTTGTCCTATTCCTTTGTCATCTCACAAGGAATCTAAGACATCAAAAATAGAGACATGATCTAGTGTGATACCTATTGTCATAACCCATAGAAGTCCTCCCAGAGCAGTAAATATTTTCCATAGTTGTAAAGTCGCCTTACAGTGACAAAAAAAAGAAAGATGAATTGTTGTCTCTGCCTTACATCCACACAGATAGCACCTAAAACACAATTGAAATCCTCTCTCAGAGAATCTCTCATGTGTTAGGATTACCCCTCTTGCCAGTAGCCAAGTGAAGAAGGCCATTTTTTGTGCTACTTTGACAAATATGGAATGATTGATGATACGGAGGTCCTATGCTTTTGTTTATTTTTGATGGCATTCTTTTCTGATTTAAGCCTCTATCTTGGTCCTAATTTCAAAGCTAAAACTGTACTTGTAAATTCTTCTTGCTTATATTAATCTTAACAGCCAGGCAAATATTGCAGGTTGCTTATCACACTCCACCTAGATTCTCTATGGATGTGATCTCAAAGATCCGTGAAGGAGCGTCATTACTATTTCAGCGACTTGGCTTGCGTGATTTTGCTAGAATTGATGGTTGGGTTTTGCCGCCTTCTACAAAAGCTTCCACTTCTGCAGGAAACAAATTTGGAAGGACTGATTCTGGCACAGTAATATTCACTGATATTAACTTGGTGAGATAGCTTACTGACCCTTCCTGTATTTTTTCATCAGTATTTTTGCTTGAACTGTATTGTACATTCTTCTCCCCAGATCAGTGGAATGGAGCAAACAAGTTTCTTATTTCAGCAAGCATCAAAGGTACTCCTATTGCTGGTTATTGGTTTGTTGCAGAATAACACGATGTGAAATTCCGGTCTGCTTTGGTATACGCCCATCCATATGTAAATCTTGTGGTGTCATTTTATTTGTAGTTAAGAAAGTTACCATGCTGTAAGTGTCGGTGCAGAACCTATCCCAAAGAAGAAAGTCCATTTGGCATGAATTTCCCTCAACTCAAGAAGAAATCCCTTTGACAGAAATTGTGTATATCATAGTTTGAATAAAAAGAAACTAATATGTAGCTGTTAGGCTTCATCTGGAACAAATCTCGACTATCTTACATATGGAAGTTCTGATTTGTCAACGATATCATATCCTTCCCTGCAATCAAACATTCAAACACTTGAAGAATCCTTAAAAAGAAAAGCAGGGAATGATAGCATTCCCTGTATAAGAGAATTGATGGATTTATGAAGTCAATTTGAGTAGCATGATATTTACCAGTAGAACAACTTCTAATGAAAGATATTTTACATGTTGTATTCTATAAAATAGCTAGTCACAGTCTTGTTGAATCTGATGACTTTGTGCATCTTTCCGTGTCAGGTTGGATTTTCACACTCAAATATTCTCCGGACCATCATCCAACATGCTTGCTTGCGGTTTCCAGATCTTTTATCACATAATATCATATCATGTCCATCGAGAAAGAGATCAAAATCTTCGCCAGTGACAGAGGATTTTATTAAACAACATAAGAAAGTGTACGTCATCTTTGGTGGTGACACCTCTGAACGCCAAGTATCTCTTATGAGCGGAACCAATGTTTGGCTGAATCTAAGAGCATCTGATGATGTAAGTTTTCGTGTCTACCAGAGTAATGAACCTTATATTCTGAACATAAGTACTGTGACTCAGGGACAGATTCCTTTTTCTTTTTTATTTTTGTTTTGGTTATCCATATAAACAACCATTGTCTATTGGAATGAAATGGGTTTGAATAGTGTGGATGGATGTAAAGTATTCATATAGTCAACCCCAACTGGTTAGGGATTGAGGCATAGTTAGTAAATAATTTAGTCTGGTAATCTTTTCCTCCACCCCACTCTCCCCTCTGTTGAAGGGAAATGTAGGGTGTCCCACTTTTCTCTCTGGTGACTTAAGTCTCCAACCATTATGGAGGGTTTCAACTAGAGCTGCCCTCACCTGTTGCCTCAGAGACCGATTCTTCAGTTTGTCTAGTATTATTGATTGCTGAAAGGCTAATCTTATGGTGGCAAATGAAACTACCAGAAGCTTTGGAAATTATCTTATTTTAAGTGATGAATTAGGAGTTGATTATTTCAATTAGTCCTCATTCACGGCTTCCTTATTAAATTTAGGTCAACCCTCTTGCTCCAGTGCTGCTGAAATTCCAAGCATTCCCATCTTGATTTAATTTTTTGAATTGGGGGAAACTAAGTGCTAGAAGTTTACATTCAAAATCATGCCCTGGTGTCTTATGTATTACAGAGCTCAAAACCTTCTTTATATTGAATGGTTTGGTGTTCTGATAAACCCTGCCGTTTTCTAGCAGTGTTCAATCAATTACATATTAAAATATTTGATTTTGGTCTGAGCCCTGAGGTTATTGACAAAGAAGATGTGTCTAAGACACTTCATTTATTTTTATCCAAGTCTTTTTTTTTTGGGTTCACAGCTTGTGTTTCACACAGGCACGGGAAATGACATGTTTGTTATTACTTCAGCAATATGTTTCTGCAGATAGTGACATAAGTTTGACTATAAAATTCTGTTAATGTTTCACCTGTCTATGCTGGAACTTTAATCTGTTCCCTCCAGAGGAAATCCATATGTAAAATTGGTTGCCAGCATTTCTTACATGGTATTATATCAATGACCAGATGTGTCAAATTAGAAGGAAATGATGGAAAAGATCTCTTGCCTTCTGTGATAGTACGAGAGTACAACCGCCTTGGTTTCTTGTTCGACAAATATTATCTTCTCTTACTTCTTTAGCAGTTTATTTTGTAATATTTGTTCAGACGTACCCAAATTTATCCTGCTCGTGTTATGATGTTGGAATCTTACTGTCTGCAGCTTGAGGTGACACCGTGCTTGCTTGCCCCTGCAATGAGCTATACTGATGTTTCAGACTCTGCTACGCAGAAAGTAGATGAGAAGTTAAAGACAGTATGGACATTGCCGTAAGTATATTGCAACTGCAGTAGACTACAAGTATTGTGTATCTTATGTCCTACTTTACTCATTCTTTCACTTTTCTTGTCGCAACTGCCAGATAAACTTCTCTGTATTAGAATCCAACTCAGTTCATTCTATGACAATTTAATAGTCCTGTACAAATTTCAACGCACTTCTACAGTTCTTAAACACTCTTCTTTTTGTACATTTATCTTCTAAAATAGAGCCTCATATTTTCATTTGTAAGAGTTTTCGATAGGTGAATGCGATTCATCGCTTTGAAAGAAGAAAACCTGTGTCCATCCAAAACCTGTTCTATCCTCTCATTCCAAATTATCCACATCACTGCTTGAGGAATGTCCACATTACTGTTGCTTGAGGAATGATTCTTGAAGACCCTGTCACTGTTTTTCCTTCTAGCTTGACGCCATTTCATCAGTTTCTTGGAATTTACCCAGCTAAATCCTTCTTATGTTAGCATTACGTACTAAAGTCCTGCTACTTGCAAAGCAACAGGTCATCCACTTCTGTTGCTGCATATTTACACATGAAACACTACCTTTATGCAAATGCTTCTCATTCTTACATTTCTGCTATAATAATTACTCTCTTGCTGCAGCCAACCAAAATCAGTAAATTATGGTACTACTTTGGGCTTTTACGGCACCCAGATAGCCCACCTGAAATTCCTTCCTCTTTTCAGAAATGTATCATAATGGACTTGATGGGAATTTCCATTATACATATCTTCTTTAGATGCTTCTTCCTGTGTACACCGTTGAATCTTGTTAGATTTAGTCCATGAGCTACAAACGAGGGGATAAACATGATTAGACATAAAAGTATTGCTTCATGTTGTGATTTCTGAATCTCGTTGGAGCATAACCTGGAGGAAAATATTTGAGATAGTTTGATGTAAGGTTGTGATCCTCCTAGTTTTGAATATTATCTTACTGCATGTCAAACCCTTTTCCTTGGTGTACAGCTATTCCCTTTTGCTGAGACATACTACAGAAGAAGTCCTTGATGCGTGTCTAGAAGCAATTGAACCCAATCAGGCAGCTTTGACATCTCACTTGCGGAACCAGGTCATGGATGATCTCACAAGAGGTCTGAGAAATCACAGATGGTTCAACGGGTTTGATATATCAGATGAATTACCAAAGAAATTTTCCCTAGAGCAGTGGGTCAAGCTAGCTAAGGAATCTCAGGCGACTGTTTTCATTGCAGGTCAGTAGATGTATACATGCTTATAACTTTTCGTCAACTGTTAAAACCGTGTTAGTATGTGCCTTCCTTTACATATTTATTTTTGCTTCAGTAATATGCTATGAAGTAAGTAGATAAAATAAAGTGGCATGTGAATTCAGCTATGTGTTCATCCTCATGAGAAAAGAATAGCTTATTTCCATTCTATAACACTATCAACTTTTGTTAGATGTTATCATTTAATTTCTGAAAGTAATGATGACAATTATGTTACTATGGCCGTTGATAGTGCATGGAGGCATTGGAGAAGATGGCACACTTCAATCTTTACTAGAGACAGAAGGGGTTCCCTATACAGGTCTGTATTGAATGGTATTTTTGAAAGAAAGGAGTACAAGCCAACTAATAATCACTAAACTGTAGTTGCTTTCTTGCCCTTCTTATAATGGAAGGTCCTGGTGCCATGGCTTCAAAAACATGTATGGACAAAGTTGCAACCTCTCTTGCTCTACAACATGTGAGTTGATATCCTTTGTTTCTTCACCCCTCGCATTATTCCGAGTATGAATGGAATCAAACATCAGTCAGTCTATTGTGATTAAACGAGTTCAGTTAATGTTGCATTATTAGCTGCAACACAAGCATGTCATTGCCACAGTCTGAGATATATTTAAGCACAGTATACTTATGCATAGGCACATTAATAGAACTTCCTCCCTTTTTATAACCTGCACAGGTATTTCAATTAAGCTATTGTTTCTAAAGATTGACATTGCTGTTCATACAAAAGTTTGTTTTGATGATGACGTACTAAAAGCAATTGAACTTACATGACGGAACTTTTGCCTCAACCATGTTTTGATTAGTTTAGTAAGATTCAGAGATAGGTGCTTAGATTACGGCAAATAAAAGCTGGACTATGATGATTTTTGTTTAATTCATGGATCAGTTGACCTGATTTGCTACTCATTCCATGTCCTGTATTTTAGTGAAAGAATGACCTTCTATAGTTTGAGATATGCACAATTGAACAATTGCGAAGTAGTAAATGAATGCCAGTTTACCACTATTAGATCCCAACTGCAACATACATAAAAAGGTTACCTACATTCGTGAAGGTATAGTTATATGGGGGTGGGGATTGGGGGGGAGGGGGGTGGGGGGTCGAAACCAAGACTTAAAAACCAAGGGCCTTGCTACTTTGGCTAAGGTTCATTCTTGAGTTATTTCAAATTAATTTGAAACTTCTTTTTGCGTGGACTTCATCTGCAAGTTATAAATATAGTCAACAAACAGATTTTGCATGCCACCTATAAATAAAGATATCTATAGCTGACAAGCATATTAACTCTCTTTGGATAGCTGACCGATTTTGGAGTCCTTACAATAAATAAAGATGTGAAGAAGAAAGAGGATCTGCTGAAAATGTCCATATCTGATCACTGGCTTGACTTGAAGTCAAAACTTCACTGTGACACTTTATGTGTAAAACCGGCCAGAGATGGTTGCTCAACTGGTGTGGCCAGATTGTGGTATGCTTTTGTTCCTCTTCAATTCTGTTCTACTTAAATAATATTGGATGCAAATCTTAAAAAATGCTTCTTGTTAACTTGACACTCTGCCTTATGCAGCTGTGAGGGGGACCTTGCCTTCTACGTAAATGCATTGCAAGACTGCCTACCTCGTATTCCTCCTAACAGCCTGTCAAAGGTATATGTGACTTCTCTGTTATTGCTCCTCATCTGCAAAGCTTTTTCTCCCAATCATAGTTATCATAATTCCATTTGTCATCAGTTTGATCAATAGTACAGTGCTTGCTTTCATTTTTTTAGCTGTAAACCCGCAGATTTGCCATGTGCTTTTCCCTTTATTCTGCATCATTTGTTGTATCAGTACTTTCATGATATATAAAAGCAGCTGTAAGTATCGTAACATGGAACATGCTTAAGAGATTGGTATTGCCTATTTAGGTAGGTAAACACAACACTCAGTATAAGCCTCTAGTAGAATAGTCAAAAAACTTTCAATTAATTGTGTAGTGTGTACAATATGTAGAAAACCGTGTGAATCATCAATAAAATATTTGATTCACGTGGTCTGCATGCTGGTTCATACAATTCGCCCCCAGCTCTTGTATTTGTAAATAGCTTGTCTTGAGTTCAATCAAATGTTTTTGGAAAAGAACCACAACAATGTCACCTTATTCCTAATAAATTGACCCTAAAATAGCATATCTAGATTATAAGAAAGCCTATAGATGCTACAATTGCAGAAATTGCACCCCACAAATTTCTATTTTTTCGATTATGTAAATAAATTGCAAATACAATCAATGTAATAAATGACCAAGTTTCTTTTGGGTCCTAATTACAAATACGACCCCCACACTTTATTAGCCCATACCACTCTGAAAGGATTCCTATGGTTTAAAAGGTAAATTCTTAAATTACAACTTTTGACCATCAGTATAAAACTAAAAAAGTTGATTATAAGACAACTTTGAGCAGTTACATCCTTGTTGCTCGATGTATAATGAGATTTTAGACTTCACACATATTTGTGGCTCTAAATTTTCCATAAAACACTGTCACCAAGGAGATTCAAAACAGTACAAAAGGTTCTTATAAACAAGTTCCCAAGAAATTAGTCCTCTTGGCTATAGCAGCCAATATTATTACCATATTTTTGTTTTTCGATTATCGAGCTTTTTTGTTTCCCAGTTGTTTTGCAAACTTCTCCTAGTACCGGAAATTCTTCTTGTGTGCTAGCTTTAATGCTTGATTGTCTGTTTTCTCTTTTTTGATTTAACCATGAGAATTACACTATTTCCTAGAATAATTTTCACTTTTTCGAACTCGTGTTTGATTATAAGATTTATCCAACTTGGAGTTGGACTCGAAATTTGGGAAAATGTTCCAAACCTGTTTTCCCACTCCATCTTTATGACTTCCAATAAAATGCTCTCCTATCTCCTTTGCAAAAAGCATAACCAAACACTACTCCATCTTCATAAATTCCAAATAAAGTGAAAAATATTTGAAATCTTTGGCCAAACGCCTACTTAATTCTCAGTCAATTACCAATCTCTAATACTTTTTTCTTTTGACACCGAATGATGATTCCAGGATACCTTAAAACTATTGTATCATATATTTCTCTTGGTATCTGATGCAGGCACATGGAATGATTGAGATGCCAAACCCTCCTCCGGAGCTCTTAATATTCGAACCTTTTGTCGAGACTGATGAGATAGTAGTTGCATCCAAATCCAGAAATGAGAATGCACACAATTTGCTCTGGAAAGGGGATAGTAGATGGGTAGAGGTCACTGTAGGTGTTGTAGGAAAACGTGGAGCAATGCGTTCATTGACTCCTAGTGTAACCGTGAAAGAATCTGGAGGCATATTATCACTGGAGGAGAAATTCCAAGGTATCTCTTCATTGTAATTTTTAAAGTGTAAGACATTATATCGCTTCCAGTGATTTGGACTTTCTCATTGTCTCATTTATGCATGCTCCAATATGTAACCACAGTTCTATGCTTGTAGTAAAAAGAAAAGAAAAGATAAGCAGGTAGATGGTCTTGTCCCTAGTTATTCCTTAGCCATAGGTTCATTGAGTAAAGCTTATTGATTCTAGTTGAAACCATTAAAAATAATAAGCTTTGTGAGGGATACTGTGGTTTCTTACTTGTCAAATGATGACTAAGACATTACACGGTTCCGTTTGCAGGTGGAACTGGCATCAATCTGACTCCACCTCCACCTTCTATTATGAGGTTAGTTATGCTGTATTAGATATGACTACCAGATTTATGTCAATATACATTTCTACTTAAAAATAGTTATTTACAAAGCCAGAAATTGTTCTTTACAAGATGTACTTTTCTGTGTGTCAAAATTACCTACATATTTCTCACAATTACTTTCATCTTTTTTTTCCTTCTCAATCAGTAGTGCGGCCTTGGAAAGGTGTAAAAAGCGTATTGAACTTATTGCAAACACTCTACAATTAGAAGGATTTTCGCGTATTGATGCATTTGTTCATGCTGACACTGGCGAGGTATGTTATTGCTGAGATTCAATTGATTGAACAATAACGGAAGTGAATCTAATACTTCATAGTTAATAATATTATTAAGGAAATGTGTCTTTTCCAGCAAGTTGCAGTTCATGATGTTCGTCTTGAGATAATTGTTACACACTCATGTTAATTATACGAGTGCACAGAGAACCGTGGTGAAGAGTTCACCATGTGGTTTAGAAGGCTGTAGTACTCTACTAAAATTTTCAAAGTATTCATCGTTTTTATGGTCTATTTCTGTAATACCTGTAGAACCAATTAAGTTGATACAAGATAAATATAAGAGGTTGAATCACCTGTCGAAACTGGTCGTTTGCGGTTGAATTGGGGCCAAAGAATCATTTTAGAGGCAATATTTATTGTTGAGTTAATTCAGTAGTAGAACTTGAGGAGATCAGAACTTAATAAAAGGATTTCTGCAAACTGCAACACTTAACATGCCATACAATTGATAGAATTACTGTAAATTAGATAACTATTTGCAGATGTTATTATAAGATCTTATTGGGGGTATGGTTGTTTTGCGGTCACAGGTACTGATTATCGAAGTGAATACAGTTCCAGGAATGACTCCTTCCACCGTCTTGATTCATCAGGTGATATATCTGCTTCTTCTTCAATGACCACATATATTTTCAATTTTGGACCAAGTTTATGCTATTCGTAATTATCCGCAGACTATATACAATGTCATAGATATATGAAAAAAAAAGGTTCAGTGAGCAATTCGAGTAAGTCAAACTTCAACGATTTACATTATCGTGTTTGTTGTATTTAGGCACTTTCAGAGCAACCTCCCCTGTATCCACAACAGTTCTTCCGCACGTTGCTTGATCTGGCATCAGAGAGATCTATGTGAATATAATTATATCAGAAGATTTCAGGTTGTTCATTTCTCTCTTATTATCTGTTGAGTCCATCCATCATTTTCCTTCCTATGTTGTATGTTAATTCAAGACTCTTTGTAGAAATGTTGCCTTTTCAGGATCTTTGTTTTATCTACTAAGTGTACATGTTGAACTATTGTAAGTGCAGATCACATCTAAATATTCTTGTTCCTATAAAATGTCGTCTATCAAACATAAATCGATTGATGTGCAAGTTTAAGGGATCGCATATGTACTACTGTTTATAGGCTATTTTGTAAATTAGATCACCCAAAAGTATTAGACTATAATTATCCCCCACTTTTAATACAGCTATTCAATGTATTAAAACTTCTATAAATATATGATGTTATATTATTATTAATAATAGGGTAACTTGCCTAAATCTCACCAGTTTAGGAACTATTACTTAGATTCATGCTAGTTTGTAGCATTACAAATATATCCGACTTTGGACTTCGGATATATGATTTTGGTGCGTCCAGATGTCTTTATATTGGATAAATAGGATCAAATTTAGGTATAGTTTATTTTAGTTATATCGTACCTAGGTCGATTCACATGTATCGTACTCTCTCAATGGTCATAGTCCTCTCTTGCTCGCACTCTTCTTTCGAGAATCTCTCTTGCTTTCTCTTCTTATTTTAATGTATCTAATGACAAAAAATATTGTATCTGATTTGAAACCTGGTACAAAATTAAGCACTTTTTTGGTCAGCGGTTATTAGTTTTCCTCAGTGGTCCAAGCAGTACAACATCACATGGTTTCTCCACTGTAAAATATTAGCTGAAGCCAGAGGTCATAACTCATAAGATAGTTATCAAATTAATAAATTCTGACTTTAAATACAGATCCAGAAAGAGAAAAAACAAAAGTGTTACCTAAAAAGTAGTTGAATGTGAGTGTCCTATAAAGAGTTGGATATTCCAAATACAATAAGAGTTTATCAATAAAAGTCGATTAACATTGTAATTAATGAATAAATAAGTGTGTTAGGTACATCTTTCACTCAGTGAAAAGTAATGAGGCTAATTTCCCCCCTCCTCAAATGAAGAAGTAGTAGGGGCGTCGATAAATGTTAAATACTTTGAAAATTTAAAAAGAAAATTAATTTTAAAATAAAGTGATTTTTTTTTCATTTTTAGTTAAAGATATTAACGAAAAGGGTAAAAACGTTTTAAAAAGGTAAAATGACATTGAGAAAAATATCATTCTAGCAAAAAAAATATTATTTATCGATGAAGAATCTTTACAAAATTCAACTGAGTCGCTTTGGTAAAAAACTAAAGGAAATAATAGCAGCCACTGAAATCTCAGAGCTTAATACGTGCGATATTAGCTTGTCCTATAGTTTGAACTAAAGTCATATCTCTATCAAAATGTTCTCTTTTGTAAAAAAAAAGTAAAAAATTATTATTATTATTTTCAAGTAATATGAGTGAATTTTACGAGTTCGAGCCTAATTTTATTTTTTTAAAGACTAGACTTTCCTATGAAGATTCAGATTTATTGGACCTACCGCATGAATGGATATTCTTTTTTAGTCTATATTAAGTGAATTTATGGAATTTTTTTAAAATAAGTGAATTGTTCAAAGTTTAAGAAAATTATTATGACTTTTCATTGTATATACACCTATAATTAATATGACGTTTAGTTAATATATGAAAATGGCAAATTAATAAAATTAATTAATTCATTAATGACTTATTAATCACTGTGTAAAATAGAAAGCGTTCATATAATATGAGATGATGGAATATTTATCTTTTATTTAATCAAATTTTAACTACTTTAATTTTTTTTTTAAAAGAGAATTACCAAAAAGGGTGAATTAATGCTTCAGACTTCTGAGTGTGTGCCTTATGGTCGGTCATAGATAGTGGGAAGTGTGAACTAAAATATAAAATTTTTCATCCATAAATTTATAACGAAGAAAACATAGACAAGAAAATGATTTGGTACGCAAAGTTTTGGCCTTTGGGAATTAAATACAAATGTGTACTAACAAGAGAGACAATGAAACTCAAAACTTTTTTTAAAAAACTAAAACTACAAACAATAATATCCCAATTTGAATCATAACCAACCTTATATTTTTGAATCCTTTTTTGCAATTAATGTTCTAGAGTCTCAATAGAAATGACTATATATATATATTTATATCGCTTAGATCAGTTCCTTTTCGTATGAATAAAACCTTAAATTTAAATAACTAAAATTCTTCGATTCTTAAGAAAAAAAACTAAATATATCTCAATTTGACTTTACAGAAAAAAAAACAACAAGTGACATCTAGTTAAGCTGACAACTTTTTAATTTCTTCGGTCAATTCGAAATAGGAAAAAGGAAGAAATTACATCAAATTTCAACCCAATAAATCTATATGTTAAGCTCTTTTTAAGTTAGAAATTAAAACTTTTACCCAAAAAAAAACATACATTACAAACCAATACAATTTCTTGATGTAGTAACTCCACCATCCACAACAAGATTATGTCCACTTACATATCTTGATTCATCACTAGCTAAATATAAAGCTGCCTCAGCAATATCTTTAGCCCTTAGTGTTGTCCCTTTTAAATTCCCCAAACCCCTCACAAAATCTTCAATTTTTTCAACTTCTTTTTCACTAGGCAATCCAATATTCATTTCTCCTCCTTCATCTCCATCTCCATCTCCATCTCCATCATGGCTCCATGCATTTACCAACATAGATGTTGCAACACCAAATGGTGAAATACAATTCACTCGAATCCCATACCTTCCCAATTCACACGCGACGTTCTTAGTTAGCCCTACTATCGCGTGCTTGGAAGACGTGTATGTGTGTGGCCCGAGTCCTCCCAGGACTCCGGCCACACTAGACGTTGAGATGATGCACCCATGTCCTTGTGGGATCATCACACGAGCCGCGTGCTTCATTCCCAACGCGGCTCCTCTTACGTTAACAGACATCACACGATCGAATTCGTCTGGATCGAAGTTGATTATGCTCTTCTTTTGGCTTGATTGACTGCCTAAAACACCAGCATTGTTGAATAAGATATCAATGTGTCCGAATTTTGACAACGTTGAGTCGATTAAGTTTTTGATTTCGTCTTCAGATGTAACATCACAATGAATGTAAGTTACTGACAACATGTTTGCTAATGTATTTCCCAGAATGTCTTCTACATCTGCTATAACAACTTTAGCTCCATGTCTTGCGAAGAGTCGCACTGTTGCCTCTCCGATTCCTCTGGCTCCGCCTGTTACAATTGCTACCTTGCCTTCCAATCTGTAAAGGTCACTACGACTCAATAAAATTAGTGGCTTAAAATCAAATTATATATAAAAAAATAATACAAAATTGAAGTGCGCTTTTAACACTTCAATTAATAGCTGAGAATGTGGAATAGAATATGATCAAAAAGCCTAGAAAAATAGTAAAATCTTTTCAGTTTTCTTTTCCTTGGAATTTTTTTTTACCTCACTCTCTTAAAACATGATGATTGTTTTTTTTAAAAAAAAATGATGAGAAATATATAAAAAGGAATCACAAAATGAAATTTGGTTTTGATTATTTAGAAATTTATAAAAAAAATAATACAAAAGGAAATATTGCAAGCAACCAAAAAAAAGGAAAGAAATGAGATAGGTAGCTATAGCTTATATATAAATTATAATTAGTGTATAATTAATTACCTTTTAGTAAAGCTTGGAGGATTAATTTCCATGGCTATGGAATGATGAACTCTTGCAAATGTTTTTTCAGGCATCAATTGAGCAGGCATTCTTATAAAAGTATGAAGAAAGTGATATTAATTATAGATAAGAATATGAGGATAGATGGATTATAATTTTGAGGGGATGGGAGATTTATAGGGAAATTTCATTTAATTAACCCCCCCTATTTTTATGTTTGGGGGGTGGGTGGGGAGTTATAATTTCTTGGCAATTTCCAATACTCCAAAACTTTAGTCAATATTCTGTTCGGTTTTTTTTATATGTCATCTTTTTTATATTAAAAAATTATATAACTTTATATTTATATCTTTTTTTAAAAAAAGTCAATTTTATAATAAATGAAAGATACATTTTCAAAGTTTAATTAATTAATCTATCAAAAATAAAATATAATAATTTGTGCATAAATTTTATAATATAATTCAGCTATTTATAAAAAATTATATGATATATAAAATGAGACGGAACGGAGGGAGTATATGCTTGTCCCTCACTACTAAAAAACAGCTATACAATTTTCACTTTCCATCCTACCCCATGTGGTCATATTTTTACAGGAGTACTTTTTTTTTTTAATCTATGAATATGGTGTTAAGTATTTCCATTAGTTTTACGAGATATATATTGTTTTTTATTAATAGTAAGTATTAGGTACTTTATCGACTAAGATAAATGAGAAAAATTACTTAGAATCACAATAAACACATAAAAGTTACTTAACGGCACAAAATTTCGACTTACATTTGTATGATATATTCTCACAGTTTCGATTTTCAATATTATACCGTTTGACTTGAAAGAAATACTAAATATATAAATTTGTGGTCTAAAATCTTTCCTTTTTAGAGTAAAATTAAATTTTAAAATAAAATTATTTTTAATTATAAAAAAATTGACATTCTTTTTATACGAATTAAATGAAAATATGCTTTAAAACTTGATTCATGATATATATATATATATACACACGTACGTACCTATCATCAATATTAAATGGTTCATTCAGATTGTAAGCAAACATGGCCTAATAAAGTAAGTGAGTTTGCTACCCAATTTTTTTTTGTAACTACTCAATTATAAAAAAAAAAGAGTTAAAACATAAATTATTAGTGTTCAATTAAATAAATACCTAGCTGTCTTAGAGATCTCTAAACTATTATTAAACTAAACCTACTAATTAATCTTAAACTATTTAAATCCATCTACTTATCCCTTCTTCAATTGGTACTTGTTTTAGGTAGATTAATTTTTTTTTTAAAAAAACATTAGTTTTTTTGCAAAAATGGAAAGGATCAGTTTTTGCTGTAAATATTTGTCTGCAAAAAAACTTTTTGACTTTTTGAGTCAGCATAGCAACTTTTTTTGAAAAAAAAAAATATAAACTGAAGCAGAGGCGATTATTTCATAAAATAAATGATCACTTAATTTTACCAAAAATTATTGTAGCTATTTTTAAACGAAATACTTGATTTTTTTTCTCTGAGTATTACATAA